CGGAGCTCTTGTCCTTCGCCAATCACGATGTTTGACGGGAAAGTGATGGATTAATATGCACTTAGAGATACCACTCTCCCATGAATAATTATACTGGGATCGGAACATCGAGGTCCAATTCCGTTCACTGTGTGCCAATGGCCTTTAGAAAAGGCATGAATCTACCTCTTCTTCGTACCCTTCTCGCTATGGGTTAAACAGCAGGGTAAACAAGATTCTCTATTCTTGGTTGACAGAAAGTCGAGGAGAATGCAAACCTATCATCCACGCTAAAACGCGGATCCCTCTTTGGATTATTAATGGGGATTTATTTCCCAAGTTTCTATTTAAAGCAGTGTAGACAGTCTTGATTATAACGATATTTTCCTTTCTATCATGATAGTTACACGTGCTAACCGTTTTAAATATTGTTGTTGGAAGTCTTCAAGTGTAGCAATTTTGTTATTGGGTAATATTCTTATAAATCTAATCTAAAGATTCTGTAGAACAAGTCTTTACGATTTGATAAAGCATTGTGTTTTAGAAGACTTAAAGGATTTCTTCGTTTGTATCCATGTTTAATTATTGACCTGAGAAAATTCTTGTTTATAGGTGATAGATTAGACATTTCTTAATGAAATGGGCCCGATGCATTGCATCTATATAAAGGTTTAGATCTGACGACGCTATTCAAGGACAGGGTACATGGTCCAGTAAGCTTGGAAGTGTGGGTGGTGTAACGGATAATGGCTCTGAATTACTAATTGAAGATCTAAGTTCCAACTCCAGTTGGGTTCGTTATATTCACTTAGGCGCGTATACCATTTGGAAGGTATGAATCGAGTTCTCTCTACCACTCTAGTTACGGGTTAATTAGTAAGACGAGTACCACTACATCATTATTCTATCAAAAAAGAATATTTTCTAGTTTTAAATACCCTGCAATGGGTTGATAAGCCGTAAAAAACGAATCAATAAATCAAGGACAATACGAATTATTAGGTTAATATTTTAGTTTTATCGTATTTTAGGGTCCTTGACAAAACTACGCTTAGCGCAGCCTATTCTACACACTTGTGCAAATTAATTGAAAAAAACTGCTTTAGTTTCCATTCTTTCACCACACGATCTGTTTTAAACCTACTGGAGTGACAGGATGTAATCGGTTTCCATTTTTCCTCAGATTAGGTCATTTGCAGTGGTGTCCAGTAATATGAATCTATTTTGGGGGTGTATGATGTAATTTGTTTGGTCTTGAAAAATATTGCGGCATCTGTGATTGCATCATATTTTCATCACGCCCAGACACTATTGTCTTTACTGTCGATTAGTTGTCCTACGGCCATTGTCAGCGATGGACATTACTCCAAGGAAGCGTACGAAAATTATAACGCTGCACGAACACACTGGCAAGCCTTACCAAAGTACTAGAGACTAGCACGAAAACTCTCCTGATTTAAATCCAATAGAGAATCTGTGGTTAACCTGCAAAGAAAGAATTCGGGCAATGGACATACGAAATGTTAACATGTGCAATGAGTCATGTTTCATTGGAAAAATACGAAAAAAAAGGTCAATGATAACGGAATTATTCGCTTTGTTTAAATTAATTTGCACAAAGGGTTTACGTTAAGTTTCTTCATCTTTTATTCTAAATATGATATAACTAATCCATAGTCTGAGGTATTTGAAATGTTACGACTCTCAATTGCACATTCGGCGATGTTATAATGGTTTCCGGGTATGTAACATCACTACTCTCATTTCAGTCTCAGGTCAGAGTTTCTATAATGAAAACGTTTAAGTCCTACTTCTTGAAACAATTGTAAAAACTGTTGATTTCTTTTTGTTCAATGTCATTTTTATTCCAACTATGAGTACCTGTGTCACCAGATTAGTCCGCTTCATCGCTAGTAGACATACATCTTGAATAAGACTGCAATTAAATCCGATACTTTCATAAACTAATATTATATCTGGCCCTGAAAATTTACCATGAAAGCTTTCTCTCGCTATTTGGCTATTAAATATCAGCGAAATAAATTGTAAATGAGGGTGAGAAGATTATGTGGCGCCAAGTGATTTCAGGGAGGCTGCCTACCTAGAAATACAGCAATTAAATTCCTGCTTTTATCGTTACTCTTTACTGGAAGTGGCCTCACGTTTTAATCGGTTCCCATAGACATTTACTAAACAGCATCTGCATGAATCGATATAGAAAAGAAAGACTATGCTGCGCCTATTCTTAAAAATCAACATTCGAACATCTGAATTTTATTGTCTTTCTAATTTCTGTTTTTTTTTTTTTTTTTGGCTTCTTTAAGTTAGCTTCTGCGTCTGAAGGTAATAAATGGAAGATTGTGCAGCGCTAGATATTTTTGAATAGGGAACGCATACTCGTTTTGAAAATCATGATCCTAGCATTTAACTATGCTCGAACACCGTTACCAGAATATAAATTCTCTGCCCTTTCCTCTCGTTAATTAAATAGTGGTAATGAGAATATTGGGAGGCTGGATCCAATTTGGTTGGGGTGAATGCTTCTCAGGGATACGATTTGGCTATGAACGGCTTGGCAGTGGGTGGGTGCCTTGTCATGAGAGAACAGGCCTGTCAACCCTCCATAATCTGGTTCTGAATGCAATCTCCTGTGCGAAATTCTCATTCGCTTGTCGCTAATGAATTCATCGCAGCTGCTGGAATACGCTTCTTTAATTGTGGCTTGTTATAATGACGTCATTCCGAACTGAATACAGGGACTGGAGTGTGTAGGGGCACAACGATGGACATTTCCGCTTTTGAATCAATACGATTTTCTAGGCGAGTGTATTTGAAGTAAAGCATGGCACAAGGTCATGTTCTACCGTAAGTTTCAGCAGAAAATACTTTGGGCATATCTGTCAAGCTGCATCAACAAATATTCTTTTCTTTCTTAGTGCAATGGAGTGATGTTTTCTGACTATGAAGACTGATCATAAGTACAGAGACCACCTCCCACCTATTCGCGTTTCAACATTCGCGTCTCTACAAATTCATGGATTTTTCTTTCTTTTTTTTTTTTTTAAATAGGCGCCGGAAGGAGTCGTCAGTGATGTTAATTGACTTGGTTCATCAGGGTGTTTCGGGTCTTTCAACATCATACACCCCATCACCAGCCGACCCAATCAGGGGAGATCAATCCCTGATTAAACGGTAACATAGACTCTAGCGTTTTTAATAAATTGGACGAAAATAGACCACGTTTTCCACGCACCCGATTGGCTGTCTGTAACAACCAATCCACTGAACGAACTGATTTATAAATGGTCCACGGTGGTACTGGCTTCTATTCTTTTCTCTTTCTCTTTATTTATTTTTTATTTTTTATTTTTTTCTTGATAGGAGCTTCAGGGGATGACCGAGGAGCTATTTTAACTTTCCTAAACGTACCCACCTATGTTGTTTCACAAACAAGGTTTGGTGCCTTACTCTAAAAAATTTACGGTTTTGATTTGTTAATTTCTAAAAACTTAAAACTACTTCCAGTATATTATATTTGAGTGATTATTGAATCAACTATTATAATTAGAGTTGGAAAGAGGGAAAAACTCACAGCTAATATCACATTTTTTTTATTTATAACTATCGTTTAAATTGATTCTTAACATTATTTAGAACATATGTACTTGTTATTCGCTGAAACCCCGAATATTCACGTATTTTGAACATATGTCCAAATTAGAGAACGTCATCGATTCGCGTATTTTTTTTTTTTTTTTGATAGAACATATTTAAAATATTCTTGTATTATTTTCCTGTTATTTCAGTGACTTAAAACATATAAATAGTTCATTTTTTATGTTAAAAATTGGTAGAATTGTGCATCTTCATTGTCAAAAACAAACGCAAAATCATGCGTAGTGCGTCTTTGTTAGGGGTTGTGGCTGGGGTTTTAAAAGTGGTTTATGCTAAGTTTAGTAGCTCATCACAGTTCTGTTTTTAGAAAATGTTTTAAACTTTATATTTTATGTCTTGTTACACATATTTATACAATATTTTCAATGGTTGTATCGATTTAGGCGTAATTAAAAACGGTTATGGTTCGTATGAAAGAAAATTTACGCTCAGTGTTTCTAAAGTGCTTAGGATGAAAGTTTAAGGCATATGGGTTTTAACAATCAAAATAGGTACTTATAAGCACTTTTAGGCTGGGTACACGTATTCGCGGATTCTAACTATTCCCGACTGGTTCTGGTCCATAAGCCCCCGCGAATACGGGGGACTCACTGTAAATTTATTATTCATACAAAATACGGCAAAATAAAAGTAAATGTTTGTATTAACCCTTTGACCCCTGCGTTCCTGAACCATTTTAACCCTTCTCCCTGATCTCCTGAGTGAAGATTCACAAATAACTGGTATTTAATGTTTCACGGTAGATATAAAAATAGTTACAAGTGTTTACCCACCGTTCGACCGGTAGGTGGGCATTAAGTCATTTTTCTTTACCCCTGTTCAATCGGTGACGGAGCATTAGGTCACTTTTCTCTATCACCGGTAAAGCGGTGGTCAGGGCTCAAAGGGTTAAAAAGTAAAAAAAATAGTCTGGAGATCGAATTGAGGAGGAAAAACTGATTCTATAAACCAGTGGTTTCCAAACCTTTTCTACGGGCCACATTTTCGGAATAAGAATTTGCTCTCCTCTCATCAAATTTTATGCGATAAAAAGTACATTTTAAAATAAAAAAAAAATACAGAGAAAGAGTTAAAGGGAGATAACCGTGGATTTGAAATTAGAACCTTATCATTGATAACTTTCTCCTTCAATTTGCAGACCCTAGTTACTATATTCATAATACTTGATATAATTAAAAAATATCACAATGATAAAATCGGTCAATAATCATTTATAAATATTTATACTGGGACTCATGCATGCAATTACAAGAAATGCATAAGAATATTTTAAATTTGGAAATCATATTTATTTTTTTGCATATGATATTTTTGAAACTGTTCCTAAATCTTTGATTGTCTTTCAGTCATTCCACTTGCTATCCTCTTCCGCCTCACCCGCTATCCTCTTCCGCCTCACCTGCCTCTTCCGCTTCACCTCCCTCTTCCGCCTCACCTGCTATCCTCTTCCGCCTCACCCGCTATCCTCCTCTTCCGCCTCACCTGTTATCCTCTTCCGCCTCACCTGTTATCCTCTTCCGCCTCACCTGCTATCCTCTTCCGCCTCACCTGACATCCTCTTCTGCCTCACCCGGTATCCTCTTCCGCCTCACCTGTTATCCTCTTCCGCCTCACCTGCTATCCTCTTCCGCACCCCCATCCTCTTCCGGGACACTAGGCTAGGTACTATAGGCAACCGCAGTTTGGGAACTACTACTATACAAGCTCTACCTCTAATATAGAGCACTCCTATAATTATAGCAATATTTAAGTTGCAAACACATATTTATATATGTTTTATTTATATATATATATATATATATATATATATATATATATATATATATATATATATATTCTATGTTTATTAAATTTAACCATTTTCTTTCCTAAACTGTGAATAATAGATAAATTTAACAGCGCGTACGTAAATTAAATAGAATGTCTATACTTATCAATTAAACCTGTTAAAAAGATTGATTGCATACTAATTACACTCTGTAGATGAGGCGAAATCGCGTCATGATAAGCGTGCGCATGTGATGACTTCTAGGTTTTCGTGCGCAGCATCCTATCGTTTAAGTGGCAAGGAGCAATGAGGTCAGACGTATGAACTATTCAATCAGAGATTACAGCATAATAGAACAACGCATTGTAGTGTGGTTCTGTAGGCAGGAAGGGGGCCAAAGCCACGGAAAAATATAGCCGGTTTTTGGTGCAGTATGGAGCAGGCCCCATGAATCATCGAAAGGTTTTATGAGTGAGTAGAATGCTTCAAAGCTAGAGGAACCCTTGTAACGGAAGAACACCTTTATGGTCGCCATTCGACCACGGAAGAACACGTCTAGAGGGTGTACGCCTTGATCAGGTTAAGACCTACGAATCAAATTAGTCGCGGCAATCATGGGTATCAGCTATGGCACAAGTGGATAAGGATTCAAGTTACTGTAAATTTTGTGCAGTTGGTGTCCAAATAAATAAGCATTGGGTTCGTGAACAATAGAAAAGTTTCTTAATAGAATGAATGAAGAAACGCGCACGGTGGAGTAATGGATAGCGGCTTGAATTGAGAAATCCGAGTGTGGAGTTCAAATTCGAGTCGGATCCATTCAATTACTTGGTAAGGTATGAATTCTCTTCTTCTCCTTCCAGCATGGGATCTATAGTCTTGGATGGCAAGAAGAAGGAAAAACTCTGAATCCAAAACGGGCCTGGAGAGGGTTGGGCCCCCGTCAGGCTATCTTGCCCAAGAAACACCATTTCTACTGCAGCTGCAGTACCCATGGTGCCACTATGACCCTACGGGATAAAAAAAATATTTATATTCGGACTATTGTACTCATTTTTGGCTAACAATTAAAAACTGTCTTGGAATATCAAAGAATAATAATAAGAGAGACAGAATGAAATCAGTGAATAATCCATCTAAAGAGCTTTTAGTAATTGGTTTGTAGAACGTGGATTAGAAGGACGAAACAAATCTTACGTCACGTGGAGAGACACGGCAGATTGGAGGAGGAGGAGGAGGAAGAGGAGAAAGAGAAGGAAGAGGAGAAAGAGAAGTAGGAAGAGGAAAAAGAAGAAGAAATCTTAATATGTCCGAATTACTGAATCATTGTCGCTATTCATTTTTTTGGCTAGTTTTCTGTTTCTACAAATTTCGGTAGAATCTCCTTTCTTTTCTTTCCTGGATGCTGGCATAACGGTGGTAGAATAACAATCTGCGAGTTACGCCAAAATGCAACAGAAATAGAATGAAAGTAAAAGGAATAAAACATCAATAAGTTCATTGATTTCTCCGCATATTTAATCACTAGTTTTTATGTTTTCTAAATTTTGAGGATTTTTTTTTCACCTTAACGTTTTTTTTTTTTTTTTTTTCGTCTCTTAACTCACCGAAAATAAACCAAAATAGCAGCTACGGACGACCTCACATCACATTTCACTTCTCTGTTGCCAATTCAGACAATTTAATTTAAGAGCTGAAGAATTAATTCGATAAAAAGCCTCGGTTATAAGCAATAAAAAAATAATCAAAATTAATCTTTAAAACCTCATATAATGAAATAAAATACCTATTGTCCTCCGAAAACTCAGAAACTACTGGATGGATTTCATTAACACATAGCATGCGTTTAAGCGATGACTCAGGGGGTGTCATAGGCTATCTAAAATTAATCTGAAGGTGGTCTCCGCCGACGACGCGGCGTGGTCAGCCGGTCGAGCGCAAACCACGGCCTGTGGTCCGATGGACGAACCAAACAAACTTTCCAGAACCGAAACTATGGTTCAGAAATTGGCATGAGAATAGTGTTGGCAATTACCTTGAATCAATCATAAAAATTCAGAATGTGGAACTAACAGAGTCTAAACTCTCAAATACCTAGCTGTGTGGATCAGTTACTACAAATCTAGAATAGATTTGGTTATTTGATTTTGTTTAGCGGCATGTCAACATCTCAATAGGTTATTTAATAACGAAACCTAAATATTTTGGACAAATTTGATGGCTTCAAGTAAATATATTTTGGACGAAATTGCATGCATTCAACTACAGAAAAAATGGATTGTTGGTAATTCTAATACTTTTGTGGCGTACGGTGGCCTTTAATAATTAAGTATAACTCAAGGTTTCAATGTTAAAATAAAGCAGTATTTAATTACAAATGCAAATATATACTTAACAAGAACAAAGAAGTAAAAGTCAACCAAAGATAACCATTTCAGTGAAGACCTTGTTAGTAGCGTGGTTCGGCTTAACGTCCAGTAAATTCTAAATCAAAACTCAAATCATCGACATACAATAATTCACACTAATTCGACTGGATAATTCCACTCAATAGTCACTCAGTAATCACTGCAGTCAGTAGCCTGACACCGCTATTTATACACCTGGCTGAAGACATATTCATAAGTCCAGCGTATCACGTTCGAACCTTGGTATGGGTAGTTACTCATTTTCTTCTAATATGAAACATATAAGACGTATTAGTGGTCATTTAGCTTTAAAAGTGTATTGTTGGTCATTTTGTTATAAACTGGTATTGTTGGTCATTTTCTAGAAATATGTTCTTTTATACTTTCATTGCGTTTTGAATTTGCTTGTGAGTTCACTATTTTCCCATAGCTGAGATCCTAACAGGTGCTACCACCGCGTGTCAGAGTGGAGCTGGGAAAACAGAGGTGGTTCCACGCTACTAAAAAAAACACCCGATCAGATGCCTTGCTGCCGGTTGTAGTTTATCGTCGCACACAGATTTAACGAAGGATCCGTTGTGCGTTATGTAGTTTCGGTCAACACCAGAAATTACTACAAAGCCAAAAACTTAAGACCGAGAATAATAATCTAATAGTCTGTTTTATCAAACTTCTCGTACGTGGAAATTCTTTCCGAATTCTTGCTTCCATTTCCACGTACAGTAGTCAACAATTTAAATGATTGGTCAGTTGCCATCGTCTGTCATCAGAAATCTGTTGTCCTATTTTACGTATTATTCTACACACAACAGTCTTTTCATTCTCTTCCACGCCTGGCGTTCTAGTGAGACTATCATCATACTTGAGGTTAAATAATAAAAAAACAAAAACATGTATAGCCACTTCAGATCTAGACACACATATGGATAATATGCATGACATACAACTCGTTCAAAAACGTCTAAATTATCATCTGTACACAACCAATTCACATTGTCTTCTTAAATAGCCGCATCTGATCTTGACTCGCATATTCATGGTCATGCCTGGCATACAAATCTTTCAGAAATATCTAATATTATCTTCTCCATACAACCATTTTGTCTTCTTAAATAGCTTTATCAGATCTCGACTCTCACATGGATATCATGCATGGCATACAACTCTTTCAGATATATCTAAACTATCATTTCTATACAAACACTTCATGTTTTCTCCTTAAATAGCCTCATCATCTCTGCAATCTTACATGGATGTTATTCATGGCATAAAACTCGTTCGAAAATGTTTAAACTATCATCTCTATCCAACCAATTCACATTGTGTACTTACACAGCCTCATCAAATCTAGGCTTTGATATTCATGTCATGTATGACATACAATTCGTTCAGAAATTTGTAAATTGTCATCTCTGTACAACCAATTCACATTGTCTCTTCTATGGAGGTCATTCATGACATACAAGTGGTTCAAAAATGTCTATCTTTTATCTCTATACAACCAATTCACATTGTGATCTGAAATAGCCTCATCAGATCTTGACTCTGATATTCATGTCATACATGGCATACACCTCCAAGAGAAATTTCTAAACAATCATCTCTATACAAACAATTAATATTGTATACATAAATAGCCTCATCAGACCTTTGCATAGCATACAAATCTTTAACAAATTTCTAAACTCTCATCTCCATACAACGAATTTACATTGTGTTCTTAAAAAGCCTCGTCATATCTAGTCTCATATATGGATGTCATGCATGGCATACAACACGTTAAGAAATGTCTAAACTATCATCTCTGTACAACCAATTCGCATTGTCTCCTTAAATAGCCTCATCAGATCTACAGTCACATATCAATGTCATGCATGGCATACAATTCGTTTGGAAATATCTAAACTATGATGTCTATACAACCAATTAACATTGTGTACTTAAAAAGCTACATCTGATCTCGACTCTCATATCCATGTATTACATCGCATACAACTCGTTAACAAATATCTAAACTATCATCTCTATACAATCAATTCACATTGTGACCTTAAATAAACTCATCAGAACTTGGGCCCCATATTTATGTCAGGCATGAAATACAATTCGTTCAGAAATGTCGAAACTCATCTCTATACAACCAATTCATATTGTGTTCTTGAAAGCTTCATCTGATCTTGACTTGTATATTCGTGTCATGCATGACATACAACTCGTTCAGAAATATTTAACCTATCATTTCTATTCAAACAATTTGTATTATATCCTTAAATAGACCCATCCTGTCTGCACTCTTATGTGGATATCATCCATTGCATACAACTAGTTAATAAATGTCTAAACTATCAACTCTACACAAACAATTCACATTGTGTTTTTAAGTAGCCACATCAATTCTTGACTTTCATATTCATGTCATGCATGGCAAAAAACACTTTCAGAAATATCTAAGCTATCATTTCTGTATAACCAATTCGCATTGCGTCCTTAAACTGACTCATCATATCTAGAAACTAATTTTCATGTCATACATGGCATACAACTCGGTCAGAAATGTTTAAACTATCATCTCTATTCAAACAATTCACATTGTCTTCTTAAATAGCCTTAACAGATCTCGACTCTCATATGAATGCCATGAATGGCATACACCTCGTTAATAAATACCTAAACTATCATCTCTATATAACCAATTCACATGTTCTTAAATAGCCACATCAGATCTTGACTCTCGTATTCATGTCATACATAGCATGCACCTCGTTTAGAAATGTCAAAACTATCATCTTTATACAAACAATTTACATTGTGTACTAAAATAGCCTCATCAGATATCGATTCTCATATGGATGTCATGCATGGCATACACCTTTTACAGAAAGCATTTAAAAGCTAAATGTCCTGAATAAAGATCTCTAAGAAAATGACTCCACCCTGTTTTCCTGCAAGGAGGTAATTGACGCATTTAATGGGAAACTAAAGCTGTTCTGGTTAAACATTTGGAGATGGTAGTTTGCATAGTTTCCTTCCTTAGAAAATATATCCACTGAGCTGCTTGATGATGACCTAGCAGTGTATGTTGATCATTTGAAGCAGTTGCATAATGATATGAAAACTCACTTTTCTGATCTACTCCAAATGACAGTGCTGCACTGGTTTGTGGATCCCTTCATTGCTAATGCGTCTGAAGTTGATATCACACTACAAGAAAGTTTTATTGAACTTCAACACAGCAGCTCAAGTGAGGTTCAAGTATGGAGGCTACCAGAAGCTGTGGATGAATGAAGACATGCATAAGAATTACCCACTCTGGAAAGTTGTTCTTACTCCCTTTTTGGTTGAGTCTAGTTTCAGCTGAATGATGCATCTACTGTCAAAGACTCAAAATCACTTTGACATAGATAAAAAGAGACAATTTATGTCTTTCTCTGATGTTTACATCTTTCAAGCCAAACACTGGCAATTTAACAGCCCTACACTAGTCACAGGGGTCCCATTAAATCATACAATATAGAACTGATGGTACATGTATTTTTTGTTTTGTAAATAAATAAGTTTTTTTTCAAATAAAATATCCAAATAATACTATCCTTTGATTTACAACTGAAGTTAGTGTTTTGATACCCTAGTACTATCCAAACTACAACCTTTAATATTCTTATTTCCCTATATGTATTAAGTTGAGGGACAAGGTGAGAGGGAGGATAAGAACTCATGTTGGCATGAGGGGACATATAAGAACTTGCATTGAATTGAAGGGGGCCACAGCCAGAATAAGGTTGGGAAACATTGGTCTAAACTATCTGTATACAATCATTTTCTTAGATTACTGTTTAAAAATGGCTTCAAGGGAATGAATCTAGTCCTTAAAGAAGACAAATCTTCATTAGATCTTATAGATTGGCGCTACAGAATCACGAAGAAGCAAATAACAAAACTGACAACACTTGAAGACTTACAACGGCAGCAACAACTAAAGTGGATAGCACATACAAATACAAGGGAAAAAAATGATATACTAGATGTTGACTTTCCACCCCACTTTAAACAAAAGATTAGGAAGGAAACTTCCATTAGTACTCGAAAGAGTATTAACATTAGACTTCAGAAGCCTGTTTTCTTAAAAAGCTGTTTTAAGAAAAATATTTTATTAATTTCAACCGACGGCGTCTCCTCTTTGGTCACCGAATGGCTAATGTTTCTTGGATGGAAACCAGGGCCCACCCTAGCGTCTCTCCCCACCCCGACCGAAGCTTTGATACTGGGCCCCATTTCTACTACTTGTCGATTTCAACGTTTCTTAACCTGAGAGCCACCAAAACGCGAGGGAAAATTGAAGGATGGACAGCGCTTTTTTTTAAAGTTACACAGGGAATTATCCAATTTAAATGAAAATTTCAGTATACATTCATAAATTATTTACTTAATAATGAATAGTTTCTTTATTTTACAAAAATCTGAGAAAATGTTCTTTTTATAATAGTCATCAATATTTTCATGCCTAAATTTTACTCGAAAAAAATCTTTAAGTCGCAAATTTTAAAGATTTTCTTAAAGATTAATCGTAAAGCTTCCAACACAACACAAACGGGATTGTTTTAAAAATTAGTTTTAAAAACATTATTCAGTTTTCGGCAAAATTTTTCAAGTATAGAAATCTTTAGGCCACAGAGAATGTGACTATAAAACGAGATGCCAGATCAGGACCTATTACACTGCATATCCATCTCTGGATTTTGTCAAGGACTTCCAGATGAACATCTGGAGTATCATACCATATATGGCAGCAGTATTCTATGCAAGGCTGAATGGTTGATTAGTCGAATTAAGAAATATTCAGTACCACTTTCTATTTAATCCCAGAGCTTGGGACAATACCAGTTCCTCGTCCGTCAGATTCTTTATGTCTCTACGAGCCAGGGCTGTAAATTTATTTTTCAAACGTGCCAAACCTACACCATTTGTTTGACGGTATTTAATTCTCTGTCTCTTTCTCTCTCTTTTGTTTCTTTTTTTTTTTTTTTGTTCGGTTATTTTACGCTTTCAACTTCCCAAATGTTTAAGGTGGAAATACTTGTTGCTCTGCGCATGCTTACTCTAATTAACCTAAGTCGTTCAAATGATATGAATTCCAAGAAGGCGGTAGGTAAGAACTAGTCATTGTAATGTTAGAATTTCAACACCCAAGGGATTTGATGATACATTTTAAAAGACTTGTCTTTCTTCAACAATTTCTCTCTGTCTCTCTCACTGTCTCTCTCTTTCTCTCTCACTCTTTCTCTCTTCCACCCTTTTTAGGGAATCTTTTTCATTATTCAAAGAAGTACTGGGAGACGTTTAATAATAATCACACAAGTATGTTTTTTTTTCCCCCAGATAAAACAGAATAAACATTTTTAGGGTTAAAGTTCGCGAGCCCATGACTTGCAAGAAAGCCGAATACATTTCTAGTTTGGGTATAGGGATACATTCCCTTTAGAGTACGTCATCATTACACCAAGAAACAAAGACAAAAAAAAAATAAAACAGATAAATACGTCCTTGCACCACATCCTGTACCGGAGAGTATTTAAATTAAATACAGTAATACAAATGTAAGTAAGAACAAAGACAATAGTACAAAACCGAAAAACACTTGATTAAATAACTCCATTGAAAGATTACTGTGTACAACAATAACAGCCCGAACGTTGCGATATAGACTCCCATGAAAATGGGTCAGGATTGTTTACATTGTGGAGGTAAATTCAATGGTTCCTTTTCAAATGAATCTTTCTTTCTATGTACCGTGTTCTTTTAGGAGGTTAACTATTTTTTCCCTATTTGGGACCCCCTAACAGGTGCTACCACACCGTGTCAGGACCTGAGAATAACAGCAATTAAGAGGTGATTCTACGCCCCCCACCAAACCTCCTGATCAAATGCCTTGCTGCCGGATGTAGTTTATCGTCATACCCAGGACGTTAAATATTTGGTACGTATAATGAGAAAAGAGGGTCCGGAGAATTTAACACTCACAGACAACAGCCTGTAACTCACGAATTCGCATGAATGATTTACAGAAGCAAAAACAAAAAGTGTCAAAGGTTATTTACTGCAGAGAAGAAGGTGTGAAGAGCCAAAAAGATGTTTCATCCATGATTTTCATTGCACGGAAATGTTTGAATAGTTCAAATCTGTTACACGAAATAAATGAGCCGTTTGTACATAAAATGACTGAGTGAAATATACGTTTACCTTGACATTGAAGAAGGGTGACATCTCTTTGCGATTGGTAACAGTCCAAACTCCAGGGGATTGTGGCCTTGATTTTGGCACCTTCACTACAACACGGTATCACAAAGCTGACATTCGAAATCGAAATTAATTGACGTTTGTCATGAGAAAGGAAGCCTATTAAAGCCGCATGCTTTACGAATAAGCTTATTGATTCCAAATCCCTTAATAAGGTTTCATGATTTTAATATGAAGAGGTGATTCATTTCGGCATGTCAAAGGTCGAACTTATAGAGCAAGCAATGAATAAATTGAGATAGATTAATTGACACTGGATTAGATAGACAGATATGGACAATCTGAGATACAGAGCGAAAGAGAGAGAGAGAGAGAGAAACAGACTGAGATAGATAGATAGATAGATAGATAGATAGATAGATAGATAGATAGATTTAAACAAACTGGGATAGACAGAGAGAGAGAGAGAGAGACATTTAAACAAACTGGGATAGACAGAGAGAGAGAGACATTTAAACAAACTGGGATAGACAGAGAGAGAGAGACATTTAAACAAACTGGGATAGACAGAGAGAGAGAGAGAGACATTTAAACAAACTGAGATAGAGAGAGAGAGACATTTAAACAAACTGAGATAGACAGAGAGAGAGAGACATTTAAACAAACTGAGATAGATAGATAGATAGATAGATAGATAGATAGATAGATAGATGAATAGATCTGAACAAACTGATAGATCGATAGATATATAGATTCGAACAGATTTAGATAAATAGATTTGAACAGACTGATACATACGTAGATATATATATATATATATATATATATATATATATATATAGATATATCGATAGATATATAGATTCGAACAGATTTAGATAAATAGATTTGAACAGACTGATACATACGTAGAACATATATAGATAGATAGATAGAGAGATAGATAGATAGATAGATAGATAGATAGATAGATATAGATAGATAGATAGATAGATAGATATAAACAAACTGGGATAGACACAGAGAGAGAGAGATTTTAAACAAACTGAGATAGATAGATGAATGTGAACAAACTGAGATAGATAGATAGATGTGAACAAACTGAGATAGATAGATATGAACAAACTGAGATAGATAGATAGAACAAACTGCGATAGATAGTTAGATAGATAGATGATAGATAATGATGGATAGATGAATAGATAGATAGATCTGAACAAACTGATAGATCGATAGATTTATAGATTCGAACAGATTTAGATAAATAGATTTGAACAGACCGATACATACGTGAACATATATATATATATATATATATATATATATATATATATATATATATATATATATATATATAGATAGATACATACATACATACATACATACATACACACATACATACATATACTTATATACATATGAATAAAATATAAATGAACGCTCTATCTACTAAGAAAGTTTTTTTTTTTTTATTTCACCCCAAGCAAGGCGATAAAGCCATTAAAGCTCAATGAGTGAAATGAGAGGGGACTGAGAAAACGTTATTGAGGAGAAAAGGCAATAAAAGATCATGATTAAGAAAAACAGATGATGACGAACATAAATATTTGAATATCAAATTGCAGGAAATCAAGAAGCTGGAAGAAATTCCACAAAGGAGAAATTCAAGAAGAAAATGATAAGACCTAGCTGCCAATCGAGTACTACGTTTAAATTCGTGAAATCTGTGTATACGAGCTTATTAGAACAATTACTATGGAAATATTTCTAGAAAAAGCTCAGAGAAGCTACGTTACGGCGGTGGGTAAGTGGCTGAAGCCGAGATGCCAGATGAAGGATAACATTATCATTATTATTATCATTATTATTATTCCCTTTGATTTCTGATGTGTAATCATTTCTTTCCGGGTCCCAACCAGAGACCTAAGGCCAGAAATAATATCTTGACATTTTCCGCTGAACAGTTTTTTTAAATCATAAAAATTTACATAGATAAAACCCTTCGGCTCTACTCGAGAACGTTTTTTTTATTATTTCTTTCAAGCATGGGCTACCAAGAATACCAAAAAAAAAAAAAATAGATAATTTTTTTAAAAAACCTTAAGATCTCATACATTTTACATAGATAAATCTATTCGTAATGTGTGAGCTGTACTTGGAGTACAGATATTTTTGTATTTCATTAAAGGCGTATATCGAAACCTCTTCCAATCAAACCGAAAACTCCAACTACATCTAGAATTATTGATGTCCTCATGTGCCAAATTTTTTTTTTTTTTAGATTCCCAACTTAAAGATTCTTGTATTTTTATTCAAAGATACATTAATTAAATAACTCCATTGAAAGATTAGATAACATGAACGTTGCGATATAGACTCCCATGAAAATGGGTCAGGATGTTTACATTGTGGAGGTAAATTCAATGGTTCCTTTTCAAATGAATCTTTCTTTCTATGTACCGTGTTCTTTAGGAGGTTAACCATTTTTTTCCCTATTTGGGACCCCCTAACAGGTGCTACCACACCGTGTCAGGACCTGAGAATAACAGATTCTACGCCCCCCCAAACCTCCTGATCAAATGCCTTGCTGCCGGATGTAGTTTATCGTCATAAATACGTTAAATATTTGGTACGTATAATGAGAAAAGAGGGTCCGAGAATTTAACACTCACAGACAACAGCCTGTAACTCACGAATTCGCATGAATGATTTACAGAAGCAAAAACAAAAAGTGTCAAAGGTTATTTACTGCAGAGAAGAAGGTGTGAAGAGCCAAAAAGATGTTTCATCCATGATTTTCATTGCACGGAAATGTTTGAATAGTTCAAATCTGTTACACGAAATAAATGAGCCGTTTGTATGACTGAGGAAATATACGTTTACCTTGACATTGAAGAAGGGTGACATCTCTTTGCGATTGGTAACAGTCCAAACTCCAGGGGATTGTGGCCTTGATTTTGGCACCTTCACTAACACGGTATCACAAAGCTGACATTCGAAATCGAAATTAATTGACGTTTGTCATGAGAAAGGAAGCATTAAAGCCGCATGCTTTACGAATAAGCTTATTGATTCCAAATCCCTTAATAAGGTTTCATGATTTTTTAATATGAAGAGGTGATTCATTTCGGCATGTCAAAGGTCGAACTTATAGAGCAAGCAATGAATAAATTGAGATAGATTAATTGACACTGATTAGATAGACAGATATGGACAATCTGAGATACAGAGCGAAAGAGAGAGAGAGAGAGAAACAGACTGAGAGATAGATAGATAGATAGATAGATAGATAGATAGATAGATAGATAGATAGATTTAAACAAACTGGGATAGACAGAGAGAGAGAGAGAGAGACATTTAAACAAACTGGGATAGACAGAGAGAGAGAGACATTTAAACAAACTGGGATAGACAGAGAGAGAGAGACATTTAAACAAACTGGGATAGACAGAGAGAGAGAGAGAGACATTTAAACAAACTGAGATAGAGAGAGAGAGACATTTAAACAAACTGAGATAGACAGAGAGAGAGAGACATTTTAAACAAACTGAGATAGATAGATAGATAGATAGATAGATAGATAGATAGATAGATAGATCTGAACAAACTGATAGATCGATAGATATATATAGATTCGAACAGATTTAGATAAATAGATTTGAACAGACTGATACATACGTAGACATATATATATATATATATATATATATATATATATATAGATAGATATATATATATATAGATTCATTCGAACAGATTTAGATAAATAGATTTGAACAGACTGATACATACGTAGACATATATAGATAGATAGATAGAGAGAGAGATAGATAGATAGATAGATAGATAGATAGATAGATAGATAGATAGATAGATAGATATAAACAAACTGGGATAGACACAGAGAGAGAGAGACATTTAAACAAACTGAGATAGATAGATAGATATGAACAAACTGAGATAGATAGATAGATATGAACAAACTGAGATAGATAGATATGAACAAACTGCGATAGATAGTTAGATAGATAGATAGATAGATAGATAGATAGATAGATAGATAGATAGATAGATAGATAGATCTGAACAAACTGATAGATCGATAGATTTATAGATTCGAACAGATTTAGATAAATAGATTTGAACAGACCGATACATACGTAGACATATATATATATATATATATATATATATATATATATATATATATATATATATATATATATATATATAGATAGATACATACATACATACATACATACATACACACATATACATATACTTATATACATATGAATAAAATATAAATGAACGCTCTATCTACTAAGAAAGTTTTTTTTTTATTTTTCACCCCAAACAAGGCGATAAAGCCATTAAAGCTCAATGAGTGAAATGAGAGAGGGGACTGAGAAAACGTTATTGAGGAGAAAAGGCAATAAAAAGATCATGATTAAGAAAAACAGATGATGACGAACATAAATATTTGAATATCGCAATTGCAGGAAATCAAGAAGCTGGAAGTGAATTCCACAAAGGAGAAATTCAAGAGAAGAAAATGATAAGACCTAGCTGCCAATCGAGTACTACGTTTAAATTCGTGAAATCTGTGTACCAAAGACGAGAGCTTATTAGAACAATTACTATGGAAATATTTCTAGAAAAAGCTCAGAGAAGCTACGTTACGGCGGTGGGTAAGTGGCTGAAGCCGAGATGCCAGATGAAGGCCGATAACATTATCATTATTATTATCATTATTATTATTCCCTTTGATTTCTGATGTGTAATCATTTCTTTCCGGGTCCCAACCAGAGACCTAAGGCCAGAAATAATATCTTGACATTTTCCGCTGAACAGTTTTTTTTTTAAATCATAAAAAATTTACATAGATAAAACCCTTCGGCTCTACTCGTGAGAACGTTTTTTTTTATTATTTCTTTCAAGCATGGGCTACCAAGAATACCAAAAAAAAAAAAAAAAAATAGATAATTTTTTTAAAAAAACCTTAAGATCTCATACATTTTACATAGATAAATCTATTCGTAATGTGTGAGCTGTACTTGCGAGTACAGATATTTTGTATTTCATTAAGGCGTATATCGAAACCTCTTCCAATCAAACCGAAAACTCCAACTACATCTAGAATTATTGATGTCCTCATGTGCCAAATTTTTTTTTTTTTTTTTAGATTCCCACTTAAAGATTCTTGTATTTTTATTCAAAGATACATTAAAATCTGCAGGGTTTGGCATATCAGAAAGAAAGCACATTGTTTTATTTGATATTATTATTATTATTATTTCCTTTGATTTCTGGTGTGTACACATTTCTTTCCGGGTCCCGCCCAGAGACCTAAGGTTAGAAATGGCATCATGATATTTTCCACTGGCACAAAAAAAAACACATAGATAAAGCCCTTCGTAAGGTGTGGACTGTACTCGTTAGAACAATTTTTTTTTGTATTTCTTTAAGGCATGGGCTTCCAGGAATCCCTTCAATTAGTCTACTGGAGTCTTTTCCAACCAATCCGAGGGTTTTCAACTACAACAGGGACTGTTGATGTTCCCATGTGCCACGTTTTTGAGATTTCGATTTCAAGGTCCTTGCATGTTGATAGCTTTTTGGAGATTTTTAAGGGTACATTATTATTATTAGTAGTAGTAGTAGTAGTAGTAGTAGTGTTATTATATTTAAGGAGAGATATTAGTACTTAAAAAAAATTGACGCTAGAGTACACGCAAATAAATATACTCATGTAAACCAGTTTGATGACGGTAACGCTGTCTGCTTAGAGAGTCTCTAAGTGAAGGTGTTTCCAAGTCGATAGATGTAGATTACAAGCCGCCTTCCCTTGCCTCGTCAATCAAACTATTTAAAAAATCAATTTTTCTTGAAGCTTGGCTATGATTCTCTTTTAGCTACGCTCATTGATGAACAGAGGTGCACCGGACTTCAGCCTCTAAGGTAATCGGGAGGGGTCACCAAACTACGGCCCGTGGGTCGAATTCGGCCAGCAATATCAGTACTTTTGGCGCACTATCTTACTGTGCAACAAATGATCTAAAATATAATTATTTATATGGAATTATCAATAGATTGTACTTAAGCTTACTATGTAAAAAATTAGAATAAATTTATGTAAAAGTGCCAAAATTTGGCCAATCTAATTTATGCATCTGACAGTAATATAAGTTTTAGAAAAATCAATGAAATAAAAAATTCAGCGACTTTTCATATCCAAGGGCTTTTTGCGTAAGTGTCAGCAATTAAGATTCTAAGAAAACGATGACGAATCTGCTGTAGTGATTGTTTTAACTTGTAATGCCTTGTTTAAACCAGTTTGAAGAGTGTCGTATATAAAAAGGACTGATTTCAACAAATTTTCTCATATATTTTGTCTGAAAACATAAAATCTAAAGTACATGTAACGAGGTTGACTGATGAATATTTGAAAACATTTCTCTTGCCTGACTGCAACAATACCAAAACAAATATTAATTATACCTTAAAAGGTAAACACCATTTTTACAAATCTCACTAAATTTTAGGTCTGCTTAGTTTGTGTGATTCGGATATGTGCACACTGGGTGTGATATATCTATTTTATTGCTAATGTCGCTTTTCTTTGATAATTTTCTGGTATATAATTATGTTTTTTGTCTTTATTTTTTGGTGCATTCAGTTTATTGTATTGAACGAAATGGTTATCCAATCCGCGCTCGTCATTCTCTCAGTTGCGTGGTCCTCTGGGAAAAAAAGGTTTGTGACCCCTGCTTTAAGGGGTCATGCCTAACTGGTTAAGGCCAGGCAACTGGCAAACAAATCTGTCGTACTCAATTGACTGAAGTCTATATTAATTCTTCATGTGCATATTAACACCTTCAATCAGTTAAGTTCAGAAACCATGAGAACAAAGACTGGTGTAACATCAGGGCAATTATTATTATCATCATCATCATTAGTAGTAGTAGTAGTAGTAGTAGTAGTAGTAGTAATATTAGTAGCAATAGTAGGAGAAGTAGTATTCATGTATCCGCCTACACAAACCAATCCTCTTCTTGAAGCTCGCATCTGGCAAGAGACCACATGGAGCCCCACTTTGTCGATTCAAGGATCAGCTCTAAAATATTTAGCTGAGGAGAGAAATCTAGTTAATTGGGGAAAAGAAGCAGAACAATTGGAGAAGAGGAGAGTATGATTAAACAGAATCCATTGAAAACAGAGGTAGACAAATAGTGAAGTAGAGAATCGAAAGAAAAGCCAGAGCTCTCCGCTCCTTAAACTCTCCTATCCTAACAAGTGATGGTTGCAGACGTCTCTTCAGATCCAACACCGGACTTATTTGTTGCTGCTGTTAAAAGTCTTCAAGTGATTTGGTTTCTCTTAGCTGATAAAGTTCTTTGTGATTCTCTAGTGTATTTTAAGAAAATGTATGCATTTCTTTAGCACTGAATCGTAAATATTATATCGTTTGCTAGATTCTATGACTACAGCAGTTAAAGGAATAAATTAATATGATAAACTTTATTAAATGACATCATTTGCGCCTTCTTAGGCTCACATTTTCCACTGAAATGAAGAAAGTTGCTTCATTTTGTTGTGCGAGACAATTTTTCAAGCCAGAATCCATTTTACACGTTTATAAATCTACCATTCGTCCGTGCATTAAATATTGCTGTCATAGTTCCTGTGTTTAAGAACTCTGGAGACCCCTCTGACCCCACTAATTACCGTCCTATTAGTCTCCTACCCCTGTTCGGCAAAGTCTTCGAAGCCCTAATCAATGCCGAAGTGGTTAATCACCTCACATCCCATAATCTGCTCTCAGACAAGCAATATGGTTTCCACTACGCCAGATCTACAGCTGATGTGCTTACGGCCATCACTGAAACCGTCTACCAAGCCCTTCAAAATAACGGTGAGGCTCGTGCTGTGGCCCTCGACATCTCCAAAGCATTCGATAGGGTTTGGCACGCCGGGCTTCTTCGTAAGCTCCAGGGGTATGGTGTTACTGGTCAACTGTTTGATCTAATACAATCATTCCTGTCTAACCGAGAATTGAAGGTCGTTCTCAACGGATTCTCCTCCAGTTCCTACCCCCATTAACGCAGGTGTGCCCCAAGGCTCCATCCTTGGCCCCACTCTTTTCCTCATTTTCATCAACGACCTTCCTGAAGCTATAAATTCCCAGGTCGGCATATATGCAGACGACACTACAATTTACTCCTGCCTCAAAAACAAGTCTAGTGTCGGCGACAAAACTAACCTGGCCGTGCGTCTTGAAATGGACCTCCAATCAGTTGTTAACTGGGGCAAGAATTGGCTGGTCAACTTTAACGCCACTAAAACTAAATTACTCTCCATTAACCACCATAGAGATCCTTCCCTGCCCCCCATTAAAATGTCTGATAGTCAACTTCCTGAGAGCAACTCCCTGCGTCTGCTCGGTCTCACGCTGACTGCTGACCTGAGATGGAACAAATACATTGAGTCAATTTGCTTCTTCCACCGCGAGGAAAGTTGGCTCTCTGTGCCGAGCCAGGAAATTTTTCTCCCCTGACTCGATACTTCAAATATATAAAACAACAATTCGCCCTTGCATGGAGTATTGCTGCCATATATGGGCTGGAGCACCTTCTGCTTACCTCGGAGTTCTCGACAAGATCCAGAGAAGGATATGTAATCTAATTGGCTCAGATCTAGCGTCTTGCTTACAGTCACTCTCTCACAGACGCGCCGTAGCCTCTCTCTGTCTTTTCTACAAATACTTCCATGGTAACTGCTCTGATGAGCTGCTCTCTCTGGTTCCCAGACTCCATGAATTCAAGCGCCCTACGAGGCTGGCATCACGCTCTCACCCTTACACCGTAGAAACCTTCAAATGTAGCCGTCTCTTCTACTCCAATAGCTTCATACCTCGCACCTCTCGCCAGTGGAACACCCTCCCCAATTACTGTTTCCCCGAAAGCTATAATCTCCAACTATTCAAATGTAATGTCAATCGACATCTCCAGTTACCTTGATCTACCCACTATCCTTCTCCTCTTCCTTTCTCCTATCACTCTTATCTGCTCTCGCTCCAAAC